GAAACTGTCCATTTTTTTTACATTTTGCCTGAGGAAATATTTATTCAGTGACCTAAAAAGTACTACATATTTCAAATTCAGCCATTTTTGCCGAGGCCCATTTTCATGATGTTTATAGTGTGGGGTCATCCTTTTATATTAAATTACATACTATAAAAACATTGTTAGATATATATTATAGTATAGTACACTTTTTAATAGAATAATATATCGATATAAATTAATAATAAAAAATGCAGACAATAATATTATAAAAAAATATTATTTTTTTATTGTAACATATAATCGTATTTCGTTGCTCCTATGCCATATATTAATATACTAATAACACATATTAATAATTTATTATTATATTGAAAACATTGTTAAAACTCATAGATGGTTCGTCACAACACATAATTCGGCTACTGGAATAAGACGAACGTTTCCATGTTGGGATGAGCCAAGAATAAAGGCTAGATTTAAAATTATTGTACAGCACCATATAAATTACACAGCTTTATCTAATACGCTTGGTTATACGAGAGAAGTCGATGTTAATGATGGCATTGTACAAACATATTTTGAAGAAACTCCTGCAATACCCATTTATCTCGTAGCTATAGTGTTGTGCAATTTTCCTTATACAAATATATTTGAGAACTTGAGAGACTGGCAACGGTTTGAAATGAATGCGATCTTGAGAAGCAGACCACTATTTATACATAATGATTTAATATTCGCACGTCACGTCATTGCAAATATTACGCGCTATTTCCAAGACGAATGGAGGCAATGGAGGGTGTTTCCAATGCAAGAACATGTCGCGGTTCCAGGTTTGATAGATGACGGCATGACGACAAAGTGGGAACTTACATTTTACAGGTAAATATATGATTAGATATTTTTCACCAACAATTAAACATCCATAACATATAATATTATTTTTACTCTTTACAACTAAATAATTTAAAAATTTGTATATTTTTATTGTGTTAAACTGGTTATTAATACATTTATACATATATAATGTATAGTGATACATAACCGTGCCATATAAATTTTGTTTCTATCACTGAGTTTTGTTGAATCAACTAAACCGCTTGTTTGGATATAAGCAAACAAATTTTTTAATTAATATAACACAAAATTTAATTAACACAACAAAAAATTAAGTTATGTAACAATTTAGTTAATACAACAACAAAAAGTTTGTTTGAAATAAGTTTAATGTTACAAAAACAAACTTTTTTGTTATATTAACTAAATTGTTATATAATTGATTCAACAAAATAGGGTTTTCAGTGTAAAAAAATCAAATTTATTTTATAACCAAAATGATAAAAAAATTTACTAACATAATTTTAGTACAAAATATACATTTGTTTTATTTAGTTGATTAATTAGAATATAAAAGGAGTCATGTCTATTAAAATTATCCTTTTATATGTATACTTATGTATACATTTTAAAGAAAAGACTGACTGCTGATTCTAAGACTCAGTGAAATATCGAGACTTTTAATGTTGAAGGTACTGTCGATATTCATCGATGACATACATGTCACAATAGATAAATGGTTTGTGGTTGTTTAAAAAAATATGTGACAATACAAGATGTTTAATAATTATAAAACATTTTTAATAGTTAGGATTATTTTTGTATAATAATTGGCCAATTTATTTTAACATTTTTGTATATATGCTATTATCTTACAGCAATGACAGATATTTGATAAAAGTTGTAAATAAATTTTTAAAAATATTTGATATTTCTTGCGAACATTTCGCTAGGAATTGTGGTAGGCTCAAACGTAATCATACTATTTAAAGTATAAACAAAGAAAAGTTGTATGTAAGATTTTAAATATATTTTTTTATAAAGTTACATATTCAGACTAATGACTATTTTTTTGATAAATTGTGTAAATAATAAATTTGTATTTTTAAATAAAAATATAGCACAACTTTTCCTCATATCTCTTAAATAACCGCCTATCTAGCAATTCATTCTTAATTACATTAAATCTGATTATATAATATCAGAATAAAAGTAATTATGATGTAATAAAATTAAAAAAGCAATATTATATATAAGGCAACAAGATAATATGATAATTACAAATAATTTTCAGAGACGAAGATATTATTTATGATAAAGAGAAAGATAATATTGCCCGCAAAATGGACATAGCGTGTTTAATCGGACGTAAAATAGCACGACAATTGTTAAATTCTGAGACAAGTCCATCGTGGTGGAACCACTTCTGGTTAAATGAGGGTATTGCTGGAGTTCTTTTTACATCAAAAATCATTGATAAGGTTAATTGCTCATACATCTCTTATATTATTTTACTAAAAAATGGAATGTACACTTAGAACTAGGATTCCTGAAATCTCTCCTAAAATAATACTGGGAGAGATTTCAAGAATCCTTGTTCTAAGTGTTTTCAATGCTATCTACAAAATTGTAAATTACTTACTTTAAAAATGTTTTAGCATACTTTTAAGCTTAATGAAAAATATCAAAATACTGCAGTAACAGTGTACAAGTAGTGCATATTACTAGTTAAAGCATTCTCTCAAATTAAATATTCCATGATTACTCTCATCGTCATGTAAGCTTTTGTTTCTAGATTATTCCAAATTCTCGCATGTCGGATTTCTTCGTTGTCCAAATTCTGCAAGAATCTCTCTATTTAGACGGCCAAGGAATTATGAAACCTCTTACACCGTGGGAACGCACAGGCAACATATCTGATATTAATTCAATTTTCTCTTTCTCCTATTATATTAAAGGTAATATAAAAAAGTACATGATATAATTAAATAAAATTTAGAAAATTTTTAAACTATAACCAAATGGTAACCAAATCCATCTTCAATTTACTTATATTAGATATGGAAATGTTAATTTCTTAAAGTAAAATGGAAAAAATGTATAATGTACAAATAAACTGCATAATTAACTTTTTTTTTAATAAATGGTTTTTACAAATTTTTCATTGCTGTTAATAAATTTAGTTAACTACATCTAATTATTTTATAATGTTATTTGTTATAGCACCTGCTATATTGCGCATGGTGCTACATATAGTAGGCGAACAAGTGTTTTGGAATGGTATCGAAAAATATTTAAAAAAACAGTGAGTATATATTTCTGTTCTTATTGCTCTATATCTATATTGTCTTCAAGTTTTCCTCAAATTTGTATTTATTTATATTTATTTCTGTACCATTAACAAAAAACGTATCTTTTTTGCATTCAATATATATTACTTTTATTTCTCGTCGAATGTGATTCACTTCCCAAATATCAGGATGAACTTTAAAAACATCTTAATGACGTTTTATTGACGTTAGTAACGTTATTACTCTGCTACCTGAGTTATTATCTCTTTATCTATTTTTTTTCTACATGTTCATAACTTCGAGCTAATTTTTATTTTTGTTCTTGTTTTGGTTTTATGTTGACAATTTTTGATTATTTGTTTGATTAAATCTTTCTATTATATACTACTTCCTACTATTTTTATTCAATAATAGATTTAAGAATTTTTTGTTTTTATTTTGTTCCCTCTCTTATTTTTTACTTCTTTTACGTTTTTTACTAACTTACATTTCAATATTTTCTCCTAATTTCTTTATTATAATCTTTGCTATTATTTATCTTAATGTATTTTTTTTGTTTTTTTTTTTATGTTCAACTTATTTCAAAAATATTCTGTTAATTTTCTTTTCGTTACTTAATATCTAATCATGATTTTAATATTAATGTAATATGTTAATAACTCAAGTAAACTTCATTTACTTTGTAAGTGTAAATTTTTCTTAAAATTCATTCTTAAACAAGTTATATTAGATTGTATGTGTCATGTAAATTAGTTCTATCTTTTTCTCTGTAACTTTTTATTTTTTTGCAAATTAGAATTATATAAATTGTCATCAGCTGCCAACATACAGAAATAAATGAGCAACAAATTTTACTTTTTATGTAATATGTTTGTAATAACTATATGTGTTGTAATATACTGTGTCAACGTGTGATTAAATTTTGCGAAATTTCTATTAGATCAGCTACTTCGAAAGATTTCTGGGCTGCCGTGCAAATTGCTTATAATGAAACATCAGCACTTATATCATCAAAAATTAACATAACACAGATAATATATCCTTGGAGAAAACAAAGTCATTATCCTATTCTAAATGTAACATGCGATAAGAATGAAAACTCTTTTATCATAAGGTTGAAAAATCCATCCGAGACGTGGAGAATACCTTTGACATATACTAGGCAATCGAAAATCAATTTTGATACTTCTCCTGCTTCTATAGTTACATTCAAAGATAAGCTTAATATACCTGTGCCTTTAAAAGATGACTGGATAATATTAAACTTGCAACAAAGTGGTAAGTATTGAATATATAAATTTAAATTTGAAATGCATGTAATATAAATACATTGTGACTTCGAAAGCAGAATAATGATTAATTAAAGTATAGATTAGATCAAATAAATATTTTTTATTGTTTAAATATATTTATAGGTTTCAAGTTCTTTGTGTTAATTATTTTTTTATTTTAATAACATATTCTTTTCGTGTAACCAATCATTTTCTTTGATTTTTATTATTTGGCTTATATGTTTCTTAAGATTCTAGGCTTTATATTTATGTCACAGAGCGAATATATTATATTTTATCGAATAGAATATTTTAATGTCAACATATAGTAATTAAACATAAATTTTATTTCAGTTGCCGCAATTAGATTAGTACTTTTTTAGGAAAAATAGATTTAAACGATAGGTTTATAATATTTTTGTCACGTTAAATATATTTACTCAAAATTATGATGTGTTTTCTTATGATGTTAATTCTATTTTTACATAGCAAAACGCTTTTATAATATTTTCAAAGTATCTAATTACACTATTTTTAAACTTAGAGCATTTTAATAGTCATATCATGTTTCTTATTATCTTTCAACTTTTTATAAGTAATATACAATTCAACTAATATGTACACTTTATTGAACTTATGTACATGATGATAATGGTACCTTTCTTTTACCTGTTTTTTTCGGGAAAAGGTTTAATGTTCAATAATATTAATTTATATTATTACAGGATACTATCGTGTCAACTACGATACTGAGATTTGGCGAAGAATTGCATGTTACCTAAATTCTAAAAACTATAAAAATATTCATGTTCTTAACCGGGCTCAAATCATTGATGATGCGTTTTATTTTACCATGACGAGCCAGCTCAATGTCTCTATATTTTGGGAACTTACGAGTTACCTAGGGCAAGAGACAGAATATGCGGCATGGTATCCTATGATCAAAGTTCTTGAACGCATATCTTACATCCTCCCTTTTCCAAATAAAAGTGAATATTTCAAGGTAAAAGATGTTGCTCAAAAAAATTGTTATATCTAAACATTATATGCTTTGTAATGAAATAACAATTGTGACGTAAGATTTAATGAAATATCCCAGTAAATAAAATGTTAGCAACATGCATGCAGATTGGCAGCATAGGACCCCGCACAAACCTTATGGAAAATTGCACGGAGTACAAAACTATTATTAATGGTACAAATTAATACAAAATGGAAACTAATTTGTACCACTATTAATAATTTTATATAATCAACAAGTAATCCGATAGGTCTTGCTAGCTTGATAGATATCAGAGGTGTTCGGTACTTTTCTCGCACATGAGCACACATGGGTAGTGTGACAACGTTCGGAGTGGCGGAGTAGCGCGCTCTCTGCTTCTGCCGAGAACTTTTATTTTTTCAGTTCACAAATTAATAAATTAAAAATTAAACAATTTTCAAATTGCTCCATGGATTAAAATTCAGAGTAAAGAACAGGGCAAGGAAAGCCGTAACAGGATGTTCGTGTTAAATTATTATTTTTAGTAGACAATTATTCCAACCATAGTAAACGGCGCGCCGACAAATCATCAGACTTGAAACACAATTTTTGTTGGAGTAGTAAAATCCCCTCTCACCCCCTCCCCGTTACGATTTAATTTATGATGCTAAGCATCTAAGAACTGTGTTTCAAGTTTAACGATTTGTCGGCGCACAGTTTACTATGATTGGAATAATTGTCTGTTAAAAATAATAATTCAACACGAACATCCTGTTACGGCTTTCCTCGCTCTATTCTTCACTCTAAATGAAAATTAAACGTTTGACTAAGATAATAGTACATGGGATCATATTGATGCAGTTGATCCTAAGTAACGCCAATTACATAAAATTTCGGCCTTTAAATGGCCGCCATTTTGAATAGGGGTATCGTAGCGACTAAAACTGGTGGGATTTCGTCTTTAAAAGACCTTTCAAATATGCCCTCACTTGACCCTGAGTACCTTTAAAATTTTTAACTCCCATCTCGCACCCGCGCACCTGGAGATGAGAAATGATTGACGTTCATGCTAAAAGATAGCTCCTTTGAAGTATTGAACACGTATATATATATATATATTTTACCGTTTTTCAATATTTTTATTTTTACAAAAGTTATTTAGGGATTTCAACACTTTTGATAAACTTTGTATGATAAAAAAATCAAACAATTTTCTAATTATGTTAAATCTATTTTTTTTTAATTGTATTCTTTGTCCTAGAACACCACACTGAGTAGCACACCATGTTTGTTTTAAAAATGCCCAATGTTCCTACAAACTTAACGATAAATGACCCATCGAATCGACGTCTATCGATTCGATGGGTCATTTATCGCTGAGAAGGTAAATAAACTTTTGTTCTCTTTCTATGATTCCCCATGCTACCGTTTAGTAGACGTATGGCTATACCTAATTGATAGATGTGATTAACACAGTGTGGTATTTTAGAGTTAAGAACACGTATATATTCGCATGTTACATAACGTTCTCAGAGAAAATCAATAATTTAATAAACAATTTTTGTAATTTTACAATGTTTAGACGATGATACTCGAACAATTAAAATCGCTCCTTGGAACATTAGAATACTCAGATGAATCAAACGATGATTATTTAATGGAATGTTTAAGGCAAGAAGCTGTAAAATGGGCATGCGTTCTCAATGATTCTAACTGCAAGACAACGGCCTTGAATAAACTGCAACGGCAGTTAACAGATCTCGTGTAATTTACGCTTAAATGTTCTTTATTAACCATGCATTAATATTACTTATTACAATGCTTGATAGAGTATTTTATAAAAATATTTGAAATAAACATGTAAGATTCTCTAAACTAAATTTTATAACTTGTCTTTTCAGATTTCGAATCTCGCCGGGGTGGAAAAAATGGACATATTGTAATGGTTTATCGATAGCAAATAAAGCTGTTTTAACAAGTGTGTGTCAGATGTATATGTATGAAACTCTATTCCAAAGAGAACGAAAAAGTTTAGAATTCCTGGCTTGTTCTAAACATTTTTATATAAATTTCATCATGAAATCAGAAGATTATAATGAAACTATTTTCAAAACTATAAAAGAAAATGACATTGATAATATTAAATTTTTTCATTACAATGTTGCGAAACATGCAAGAGATAACTCAGTACTTGATCATATATTAGAAAATTGGGAGAGAGCAAAACCCATGTAAATTATTTTCTTCCGTATAAATATATTCTGGTTGTAATCATGAAAGCATATCGTATATGTATACAAATTAAAAATCATTTGTTTTACTTTTACAGAGAAATTAGTACAACTATAGCATTAATTGATATTATAAACCACGTATATTCTAAGGAACAACTTGATAAGGTAATATCTACATTATTGCAACTTACATGTTATCTTTTGATTTTATTAAGCTTACATATTTTTGTGTATTCTCAGCATAATCTATTTATCATGACAAAATAAGTTTGTAAAAATAACTTTAAAAACCTGCAGCAGCAAGTGTATATTCTATATGAAACTAGTATTATTTTATAGATATATTGAATAGTAAAATAATCTGTGTATGTTTTAGATACCGGAATTTGTAAGGAACATGAAGATAGAATCACTGTTAGAACTCACTGTTTCTCCTAATCGGTCCTGTAACTCAAAATTATTTAAAGAGGTAAAAATTTATACAGGGTGTACATACCAGACCACCTTTCCCACCCAATTTTCTCGTAAATGTTAAGCCTCATATTCTATCCGAGGAATCGAATAATGATATTTTCGTTTTCCGGAACTGATCGGGAGTAGTGACTACTATAATACGGTAAACTCTATTGTATATTTAGATTTTTAATGGAAACATATGGCGTGTAGTGTATCGTTGGATAGATCTTAAAAAAAAACATCTTTTATTGGAACATAATCACGACATCTCCAACCATTGAGGAGAAACAACTGGAAAACTGAATATGGTGATGGTATCGAATAATAATAAAGTTTCATATCCGAAACAAGAAATATTACTTTTATTAAGCCTTACAAATGTTCAATATGTCTTCCATCTTAATTTAAACAAAAACGGATTCTGTCTTTGATTGTTCGAGAAGCATGCCCATCGCTAAACGTGATGCAAAAGTCTTTCGAGCTATAGATAACATCAGAAACAGAATCTGTTTTTATTTAAATCAAGATGGAAAGCACATTTGTGAGGTTTAATATAAGTAATATTTTTTAATTGAGATATGAAACTTCGTTATTATTGCAACACCATCATCATTCAGTTTTCCAGTCGTTTCTCCACAACGGTTAGAGATATCGCGATTATGTTCCAATAAAAGATGTTTTTTTTTCCAAGATCTATCCAACGATACTCTACACGACACATATGTTTCCATTCAAAATTTTAAAGTTGAGCGCAGTAGCCACTACTTCTGGTCAGCTCCGGAAAGCGAAAGTATCCTCATTCGTTCTTCGAATAGGATATAGGGCCTATCTTGGGGCCTATAGTATTTCTCCCCAATTTCCTCTCATCGTTTACAAAAAAATTGGGTGCGACGGATGCGACGGGTGGTCTGATACATCCTGTATATATAAATTTGAAAGTATTACACATTTACAAAAAAACATGTCATCAACATTTATTATTAAACTTGTGCAACTCTGTATATCACACACACAAACTTGATTACACATCTATGACAATACATATAATTCTCAACACAAAATTTATTCTCCTATCAAATTATGTAACATAATTATTATTTTAAATTTAATTAATTTTGCTAAATCACAAACTCACACACAAACATATGCATGTGTACACATATACATGGGCACGTAATAGATATACATGCAATATATTTTGTAGCCGCATTAAACCTGTAAAAATATTGTAAATATTATCTCTTATAATTCCAAAATCATTTATTTGTTGACAACATATGGAATAAATTATTAATTTATTTGTAATATATTAATATATTAACAATTTAAAATTATTTTATAGATCCGTGAATGTATGAGAAATAGCGCAACTAAACTAATTTCGGATATTGACAAAAAGATTGATGTACGTTTGTCTCAAATCGAGAATCAAAAAAACACTTTTATTTCCGTGTTTGGAAACAACTCAACCGGCCGAAAAATAGAAGACTGCAATGCTTGAATCATATTGTATTCAATTACATCTAAAACGTAAAGTAAGGCAACAGAATTATGGATTTTTTTAAAAATTGCCATCAAACATTTCTATATATCTCTTATGTTACTCCATTATTCATTTAAATTTATATATTGTTTATTCATTCATTGTCCATTATATATGAATTTTATAGTTACTCCTATATTGACGTAGAATATCTTAAATATTATTATAGTAAGAGTTACCGGTTATTTTAATATACATATACATGTACATACATATATATATGTTTATATGTGCGTATATATATAAATATAATTTATTGTTTAATGTAATAACTTCTACAAATATATATATTGGTGCATATATGTATATAATAAAATTGGTAATAATTATTAATACAATTAATAAATATAATAATATTAATAGGTTATTTATATTACTAATGTATTATGTTAATACATATTATTATATATTTTAGTCAATAATAATACACAATTATTGATGTATTAATATAATAAATATACGATTGTTATATCAATAGCATAATAAAAATATTAATAAAATATTAATAATATATATTAACACATTATATTATGTAATATTCAGTTTAAAAAACCGAATATTTATTTTTAGTTTTAATATTTTTAATTTTATAATAATGTTTATGATATATTATTTAAATTAAATTGTATTTCTTTATGTTAGAAATTTAATTTTTTATATTAATATTACACACTTTTCTTTATTCATATTTATAATTTATGTAATATATTAATTTTTGGCATTTTTATATATAGTGTTTGAAAATGTAATGTGTTTATTCCTGATTTATACAATAAAGTATTTTATTCTTATGCTATACAGCTTCTTTCTTTTTGTAATAGTTTTTTCTTTATCATCTGATTCATCTCTAGTATAGAGTTGAGATAGTTAAAATTTTATACAACTGACAAAAGAAATATACGGGGGTGTCTTTTTCCATCTTTAATGCATTTTTAATATATTTTGCTCTAGATCAAAATAAAGGATATATATTTTTATATATCTAAGGATATCTAAAGGATATATATTTTGAAAATTTCGAAGCTACTGATTGAAACAATGTACAACGTTGATACAGATATGTCTGATCCAATCGACATATCTATTTAGATGTAATTTATATATATGCTTAATTTGTAAAATTCATAATACATCCATGTGTGTATAAATAATTTCATAACATTGTAAATAGATTGTTAAATATAAATGAAGATGTCTCTCTCTAGAATTTCTAGTTCGGACGGCAAAAATAAAATAATCAATATCAATACATTATATACAATCACAGAATAAGTCTTTATTTTATCACGATAGTTTATTGTATTACGAAATCTGTACAATAAGAGGTGTAACATTTGACCTAAACTGAGGATCGGAGAAAAGCAATGTATAAAGAATAATCTGAAGTACATGCTGCTATCTGATGCGTCTAGCCGAAATACAAATTACAGTTACACATAATTACAAAGTACAGTTGTATACCATTAAACTACACGAATCTCAAAAACACCTCGTCGTGAACTTAATCGTAATGGAATATTCGATTGTAATGGAATATATATACAAAATTGTTATAATATTGTCCTTTCTTTACAAATATTTACTTTAAATTTCATGTTTCTTTTCCTTCTAATCTAGGTTTATTTCTACAAACACCATTGTTTAGAAAAATATCATGAAATTATTAAAATTACTATTCAATATAATGTTCATTATGGCATCTGTTTCTAAAAAAATGTTTATCACTGAAGTTTGCGCCAAAAGTAATTGGCCTAATTGCTGCTTGCCGAATAATACAATACCAAAGCATTATAAAATTTGGTTAAATGTAGACGTTGAAATTAATATCTTCCATGGCAAATCCATTGTCAACATCACCATTTACGAACAAACGAGTACAATATTCTTGCATTCAATGTATTTGGATATAATTAAAATTAAAATAATTGAAAATATTGATATGTATGAAAGGACCAAACATATCGCAAATCGAGAAAATCTTTACTTTGAGGAAATAGAAATTGTGGTTATTTATTTTGACTATGTACTAACACCTGGTAATTATAATCTAAATATGGAATACATAGATGTTAAATCTGATATGAATAACCCCATCAAAGGTGGTTTCTTCAAGACTCCATTTATAAATAAAAAAAGAGATAGAGAGTGAGTAGATTTAACAATTTTCCATGCTGTTGTTTAGTAGCATGGGTACACCCAGTTGATAGATGTGATTAACACAGTGTGGTGTTTTAGGGTTAAGTACACGTATATGTTCGCATGTTACATAACGTTCTCAGAGAAAATCAATAACTCAATAAAAAATTATAATTTTACAATGTTTAGACGATGATACTCGAACAATTAAAATCGCTTCTTGGAACAATAAAATACTCAGACGAATCAAACGACAGTTATTTAATGGAATGTTTAAGGCAAGAAGCTGTAAAATAGGCATGCGTTCTCAATGATTCTAGTTGCAAAACAATGGTCTTGAATAAATTACAACAGCACTTAACATACGTGTAATTTACGCTTAAATGTTTTTTATTAACCATACATTTATACTACTTACAATGCTTGATAGAGCATTTTATACAAATATTTGAAATATACATGTAAGATTCTCTAAACTAAATTTTACAACTTGTCTTTTCAGATTTCAAATCTGGCCGGGGTGGAAGAAATGGACATATTGTAATGGTTTATTGATAGCTAATAAAACTGATGTTTTAAAAAGTGTATATCATATGTTCTTTAAATATGATCCGACTGATCCTTTATACCGAAGACAACCAAAAAATTTAGAATTCCTGGCTTGTTCTAAACATTTTTACATAAATTCCATTATCATGAAATCAGAATTTTATAAAGAATATTTTAAGGAGATATTTGAAGATATAAGAAAAGAGCCTCTTGATAATATTAACTTTTTTTCATTACAATGTTGCAAAACATGCAAGAGATAACTTAGTACTTGATCATATTTTAGAAAATTGGGAGAGAGCAAAACCCAAGTAAAAAAATTACTTTTTTCCGTATAAATATTAATATATTCTGTTTGTAATCATGAAAGCACATATCATATATACGAATTAAACATTGTTTGTCTTTCTTTCACAGAGAAATTAGTACGATTACAGCATTAATTGATATTATAAACCACGTATATTCTAAAGAACAACTTAATAAAGTAATATTTACAAATGTTATTGCAACTTACATGTTATCTTTCGATTTTATTAAGTTTACATATTTTTGTGTATTCTCAGCACAATCTATTTATCGTGACAGAATAAGTTTGTAAAAAATGATTAAAAAAAACTACAACATTAAGTGTATATATTCTATATGAGACTAGTATTATTTTACAGATATATTAAATAATAAAATAATCTGTGTATGTTTTAGATGTCGGAATTAAAGAACATAAAGAGTGAATCACTGTTAGAACTCACTGTTTCTTCTAATCAGTTCTTTAACTCAACATTATTTAGCGAGGTAAAAATTTATACAGAGTGTATCAGACCACCCGTTCCACTCGATGTTCTTGTAAATATTAAGCTGCATATTCTATCTGAGGAATCGAATGAGGATATTTTCGTTTTCCGGGAGTAGTGACTACTACGGTCAACTAACATTTTTAACGGAAACATATGTCGTGTAGTGTATCGTTGGATAGATCTTAAAAAAAGAAACATTTTTTGGCACATAATCACAACATCTCCAACCGTTGAGGAGAAACAACTGGAAAACTGAATGGTGATTGTATCGTAATAATAATAAAGTTTCGTATCCAAAACGAGAACTATTACTTTTATTACTTTTACCTTACGAATGTTCAATATGTCTTCCATCTTAATTTAAACAAAAACGAATTCTATCTGTTTTTGATTGTTCGAGAAGCATGCCCATCGCTAAACGTGATGCAAAAGTCCTTCGAATAGATAACATCAGAAACAGAATCCGTTTTTATTTAAATCAAGATAAAAAGAACATTTGTGAGGTTTAATATAAGTAATATTTTTTATTTGGGATATGAAACTTTGTTATTATTGCAACACCATCATCATTCAGTTTTCGAGTCGTTTCTCTACAACGGTTGGAGATATCGCGATTATGTTCCAATAAAAGATGTTTCTTTTTTTCAAGATCTATCCAACGATACTCTACATGACATGACATATGTTTCCATTCAAAATTTTAAAGTTGAGCGCAGTAGCCACTACTTCTGGTCAGCTCCGGAAAGCGAAAGTATCCTCATTCGTTGTTCGAATAGGATATGGGGCCCAATATTTCTCCCTAATTTCCTCTCACCGTTTACAAAAATATCGAATGCAACGGGTGCGACGGGTGGTCTGATACATTCTGTATATAAATTTGAAAGTATTACACATTTACAAAAAAACATGTCATCAACATTTATTATTAAACTTATGTAACTCTGTATATCACATACACACCCACACACACACATACATTCAATTACACATATATGACACACATATACATATATGACATATATATAATTCTCAACACAAAATTTATGCATTCTTCTATCTAATTATGCAACATTATTATTTCAAATTTAATTAATTTTGTAAAATCACAAACATGCATATGTAGGTGTCTATGCATATGTACACATATACATGGACACGTAATATATATGTAATATATTTTATTGCCGCATTAAACCTGCAAAAATTTTGTAAATATGATCTCTTATAATTCCAAAATCATTTATTTGTTGACACCATGTAGAATAAATTATTAATTTATTTGTAGTATATTAATAATTTGAAATTATTTTATAGATCCGTGAATGTATTAGAAACAGCACAATTAAACTAATTTCGGATATTAACAAAAAGATTGACGTACGTTTGTTACAAATCTATGTTCAAAAAAACACTTTCATTTCCGTGTTTGGAATCAATTCAACCGGCCAAAAAATAGAAGACGCAATGCTTGAATCATATTGTATTCAACTACATCTAAAATGCAAAGTAAAGCAACAGAATTATGGATTTTTGAAAAAATTGTCATCAAACATTTCCATATATCTCTTACGTTACTCCATTATTTATTTAGATTTATATATTGTTTATCCATTA